ATGCCTTTGCTCGTCATGATGCACCAAGCTGGACCTTTCTTTCATTCTTTTTGTTTCTTTTTTCTTTTCTTTCTGAATGGTACATGCTGTTGCTCCGGCGAGATGTGTCCGAACGAGCCTACGCTGTTTCGAACTTTTCAGCAACACTCACGATTCGTGGACTTTGCTAGGCTTGACCTGCTGATGTGCGCCCGCATACGCAAGCTACGATCTACATGATCCGAATCAAAAGTGATCTTTCACCATTCACATGACCGATCGCGCTTGCTTTGACTAGCTGACACCATTGCGATCAAATGAAGAGCCGACGGTACATCTAGCTCTGACCAAGCGTGAATACCCTGCACTCGCACACACAAGACTCATCACACTACACTATTATTACATACTACTGTTGCTCGAACTCCCTCCCGGCGACTCGGTCTTTACGATCGAGCCATCGCCAAGCGCGCCGCTGACGCACGCTGCGCTCTTGTCCCTTTCTGCGACTACAGGTGCATGCTTTGTGCTGAGCTTGATGTGCACAACCGCGGCACTGACTGCATACATATAGCTGCGCTTCTGTTCAATCACGAATAGCCGCCGCGGCATTGGTGGTTTGATTACCCTTTTGACTTTTTCAACATCAGTCGATCGCCGCGTAGCTAGGAAATCCTTGCGCTACATGCATGCCACCCTCATCGCGCTTCCCGCAGCAGCTAGCTGCTCTGTGTGGCTTTTGATCCCTCCTCCCCCCGCGGCAAGCCGCGCTCGCCGCGGAAGGCTGAGCAACAAGTACACACAATCTTGACTCCTGACTCCTGCATGACTATTCACATTCAAGCATTCGGTCGAAAGCCATATACAAGCGGCAATCGTGGTCTCCGGTCAAAGAAGTGTGAGTCTTGGTGAGTCGCTAAGTCCGTTGATCATCAAGATGTGTGCGTTGCTTTTTTGTTTCCAGATACTCACGACTCGACTCAAAACTTGATTCCAGAGGACTCAACTCGCGACTCACGTTGACTGTCATTTTTTGCAATTCAAAATTCGTGATTCAAGATTCAAATTCACATGTGATTGTCGGATGGGCAGGCCAGTTTCATGCTAATTCAAATTGCAAACATCGAACGAGGTTTGTGGGACGCAGATAGAATAGGTCGTCAGCACGTGACTCGACTTGGAAGGTTGCGCGCGGAGTCTAGACTCACGTGACTGTGCATCATGATCGTGGACGGCTGCATGCAGCAGCAGCAGCAGCAGCAGCCGTCTGATGAGTCGCTGGAGGCAGCGAGGATCGATGCATGTTGCCGCAAGAAGCCGATGTATGATGGAGATGAGCGAGATGGATACGCACGTGAGCGAGTGATTGGCCTTGTTCAGCAGAATGGCCTTGTTCAGCAGAATGTCATCCACACCGCCACCGGTTCTTGCAGCATCATTCCTCCGACTCGAGACCATTGGCTATACACGGCGGCGGACGGCGCAGACATCTTCGAAATCAAGAATCTAATCATCCGCCTGTGCCCGCTATACCTCGGGCTCAGATCGAGTAGTCTGCCTCGACGAGGGCTCAAGCTCTTTGTATTATCCCTACGCTACGTCAGAGCACCGACGATGTTGGATCACTTCACCATTTTCATGCGTTGTGAGTCGTGGATGCAAGCAAGCATGGAGTGTTTCATGACACGATCTGACAAGGTCGTCTGAATCGTGCGCTCTGCTCGATCATCCCCTCGCTCAGCCGGCGCAGTACTGTGGTCAAGAACGTTTACTCCCACCGGACCAGCGGCCAACGAAGCCATTTCGGCCGTAGATTCGCTCGTCAGAGGTGTGTTGGTCGAAGAGAGGGGAGATGAGCAGCGGTGGGAGAAGGACTCTTTCGCCCTGCAATGGACATTCGCGAATGAACTCGAGCTCGTCTTTGTTGTGAGTGGATATTTGGGCGCGCTCAATGTACCTACCGCATCTGCTCGGCGCCCTCGAATCGACCTGACCGTTTTTGTTTCTTGGTCGCTGCTTCCCCTCTTGCGTCCGCGCCAGGTCGTGTATCAGCGCATTCTGCAACTCTCGTACATTCCTGAACTGCTGGCTCGAAGCAAGGCGCTCTTCTTGGAATTGTTCACCCCCTTCTTGAAGGCTTTGCTATCTCATACGCGAGGAAGCGCTCAGCTCTCCGTGGAACTGAGCAACCGATTTGCCTCTGGGCTCAAGGAATGGGAATCTCGCTTCACTGCGCTATTGCGCGAGTTAGAGCGCGGCTCGGCTCGACAAAATTTCCGCTCTACCGCCAAGATCGATGCTCAAGCTGGTGCGGCTGGGAGCGGCAATGCAGGTCAGCAGGAAGATGCGGCAACCGTATCGGAGGAGCCGGAAAAGACGTCGCACAATGATGCAGCAGATGTGGCAAAGAATGTGGAAGCTTTGAAAGCCAGGCTTAAAGCGGCCGAGCTGGCTTCCAAGGGAGGTAGCAGGGGAGGAGCTGTGGGAGGAAAGAAGGGCAAGAAGGGTAAAGGTGCGGCAAATGGAGCAGATACACCTGGAACCAGCGGAACGGAATCGGCAGCTGAGACACCTGGCAAGAAGAAAAAGGCGCCTTCCAAGGAGATGAGGATTTGGGAGGATGGAAAGTTGACGGATAGGAGGGTGAATGCGCTGGATTATTCCAAAGGCTCGTCGAGTGGGACTGGAACACCTACGAAGGAAAAGGGCAAAGGTGACGTGCTGGTGGATGACGGCAAAGAAGGATCTCTTCAAGGCTGGGTGGACGCAAAGAGTCTGGGAACGCGCACTGCTGAAGGTGGGTACGAAGTCGCAGATGTCAGGCTGGGACAGAACGACGAGGAAGATGATCAAGACGAGTGGGACGAAAGCACTTCCAAGGGAGGCTTCCTAGCTCGCTTCGCCGGCTTGGGAAGCAGCGGAAGCAGCAATGCGGGCTTCTTCTCCCGACTAACGGGCTCGCACGCGCTGACCGAAGAGGATGTGGCGCCGGCGCTCTCGGCCATGCAAGCGCACCTGCAGTCCAAGAATGTAGCCGCGGATGTCGCTCAACGCTTGTGCGCGAGCGTCTCCAAGAGTCTCGTAGGTCGACAATTGGGAAGCTTTGGCAGCGTCAAGACGGAGGTGAGAAAGGCGTTGGAAGAGTCCATCACTCGCATCCTCACGCCCAAATCGAGCACGGACATTCTGGTGGAGATTGGACAAAAGAAGCAGAGGGGTTTGGCCGCCATTGCCAACAATACAACATCGGAGCTGGAACCTTACTCGATGGCATTTGTGGGAGTCAATGGGGTCGGCAAGTCCACCAGCCTTGCCAAAGTATGCTTTTGGCTGCTGCAGAACAGGCTGAGGGTGCTGATCGCTGCTTGCGATACCTTTAGGTCCGGAGCGGTGGAGCAGTTGCGGGTGCACGTCAAGAACCTGGGCCAGTTGGAGGTGGGCGGAGAAAAGGTGGGCAATGGGACGGCAGAGGGCAAGAAGAAGTTGGAGCTGTACGAACGAGGGTACGGCAAGGATGCGGCAGGCATTGCGAAAGAGGCGCTGGCTTATGCCAAGAAGGAACGCTTCGATGTCGTCGTGATTGATTCTGCTGGAAGACAACAGGGCAACGAACCGTTGATGAGGGCGCTGGCCAAACTGGTAAGCCTCAACAATCCCGACAAGGTCATCTTTGTGGGCGAAGCCATCGTGGGAAACGAAGCGTTGGCGCAAGTCAAAGGATTCGATCAGGCGCTCAAAAATTTCGCGACGGTCTCTGCTGCTGCTACCAGCGGCTCGGTGGGCTTTGGAGGTTTGGATTCGAAGAGGGAACCTAGGGGACTGGACGCGCTGCTCTTGACCAAATGGGACGCGGTGGCTGATCAGGTCGGTACGGCACTGACCATCACTAGCGCTACCGGATTGGCCATTGCCCTAATCGGAACGGGACAGACGTATACGGACCTGAGAAGATTACGAGTGGCTCATATCGTCGATGCCCTCATGAGGCAGTAGCAGACCAGACCCTCTTTTTCATCCCCCCCAACATTACTTTTCAC